ATCGGCAGGACATCCATCGTCACACACTTGACTGGATGGACCTCACTGGTCACGACTTCTCACTAGAACTCCAGGAAACTCCATCCTGTAGCAAGTCACTAGCGAGCATCAGATTAATTAATCCTTATAAACCAAATCTTGAAAATTATTATTATTATTGTTACTCTGACTATTCTCACTTTGAAATCTTACCACAGTATCATTTCACTTGTCTCAATTGTCATTGTAAATTAGAAATTTGTTTTGCAATGTTGCAGTGTTCTATGTATCTTATCAAAATTTCACACCATGTTATTTAACGTTTCCACTTTATTTGCCTACTAATCCTATAATTATACACCCATTGGCAACATCTACATCCACATCCATTTTATGAATTATTCCATTTATGACATGAATAAGTTTTACCACTTGACAATAGATATCGAATTATGATTATAGTCATAAATATTTTAATTGTTTCGGGATTTCATTATGAGCTGACATTGGCTAGAGAACCATTGGAAAACCTGGGAGTACTGGACAGCTGTTTCGTCCTAGTTTTTCGACTTGCCCTGGGGTTCTGGGTCGTGATCAGTAGGATGAAAACAAATACTCGCCGAAGATATTGGCTAGTGGTCGCGCTATGTCGTGAATTGGCAGAAGTTAGAATTCATGAGCTATTGGATCGGGTCCCAGTGGCTTAGTGGTCTCCGAGATCGCTAGCCTTGTAACCACAAGGTCCTGGGTTCAAACCCTGTTGGTGGTGGGTGCGTACTGATGAAGAGTCCCAGACTAGGACGAAACAGCTGTCCATTACTCCCAGTTGGTTTCCCAATGCTTCTCTAACCAATGTAAGCTCATGATGAAATCCCGTCATCAATCAAATCGCTACAAACCAACACTTGAACATTTTAATTGCATTTCACACTATTATTATTATTATTGCTTTATATATTTGCACACAGCTGTTTAAATTTCCTCAGGGGATATAATTTCTCTAACTGATATCAATCCGTGATCAACTCGTAAAAAATAAACCAATGGGCGAATATTTTTTGTGTGTATTATGCGTCTGGTCTTTGGTTTGCTGCAGACTGAATTCTATCAGTCAAGTTGTCAATGTGGCCACCATTCTACGTGGCTAGCCATCCCAGTGCACTTTGAATTTTTGATATTAGATAGTTGGAGGCAATCGGCAATAGGAAGTCCCCATCTGACCTAGATTTCGTGTTTATTGGCACTCACCAATCAGCAAGGCGTATCCTCAACCATGAAGGAACTCAAATCCCTTCTGAGATTCCAACCCTAATCACATATTGGACCGAATATATTTTTTAGCTCATCAAAGCACATAAGAAGAGATCAAATTTTGATTGCCCAAAGAAAGGACTAGACACACATTATACTGGTTAATAACACTATTGTCCAATCAAAGTTGTCCAATGTAGTCTTACAGTAGGTTAATCGGGAGTCCTAATAGCTCCGTGGCAATGTCTCTGACTGCAGGCAGCACTGGAGTGACTCAGGTTCAAATCTCAGAAGGCATACGAATCGCTTCAAGCTTGCAGATACGCTTTACTGACTCAACGGGTTGTATTCAGGAGAAACAAATCATTTATTGATCAAATCGCCACACTATGGATCATCATTGAACAAAGTTTGGAATGGCAGTCACCTCTCTATCTCAACTTCATCGACTTTGAAAAGGCCTTCGACAGCGTCGATCGAGAGGTGATTTGGAAACTACTTCGCTACTACGGTGTGCCACCGACAATTATACATCTCATCCAACAGCTGTACGACAATGCTGCATGCCAAGTAATCCACAACGGGAAACTTACGGAATCCTTCGAAGTGAGGACAGGAGTAAGACAAGCTGGCTGGCTGCCTACTATCGCCAATAATTTTCCTGATTGCAGTAGATTGGATAATGCGACATACAGCGGGCAATGAGGAAACGGGCATAAAATGGACTCACACAAAAAATTTGGAAGATCTGGACTTCGCCGATGATATATATCTGATTTCCCACAAACTGGAAGATATGCAAGCCGAAAGCAACAAGTTGGCAGAAGAAGCATCAAAGATAGGACTTCAGGTGAACATAGAGAAAACAGAGGTGATGAAGATTCCTGGGCAAGAACCACAACAACAGACAACGATCAGCATAAATGGGAGGCACTTGAAAAAAACAACCTCCTTCACCTACCTGGGAAGCATCATTTCAACTACAGGCGGAACTGACGAGGATATCAAAGCAAGAATCGGAAAAGCAAGACAGGCTTTCACTACTCTCAAGTCTGTGTGGAGGTCAACAGCACTCACCATCAAAAATAAGATCCGGATTTTCAACTCCAATGTGAAGTCAGTGCTACTATACGGATGAGAAACTTGGCGCCGTGTCATAAAGAGCATCTCAAACAAACTACAGATCTTCATTAACAGTTGTCTTCGCTCAGTACTCAAGATCAGATGGCCGGCCAGAAAAGATCAGCAACAGAGATCTCTGGCAATGAGCGAACTAACTCAGCAGGAACCGATTGTGGAACAAACATGCAGGTAGAAATAGAGATGGATTGGCCATACTCTGAGAAATCAAACGATCAAGTGACATCACTAGACAAGCCATTGCTCGAGTGGAACCCGAAAGGGAAGCGGCGAGTTGGTCGTCAGTGCAAGGGTGACTTGGAGGAGGTCATGTGAAGAGGAGATGAAAACGAGTGGGCAGACTTGGAGCCAGGTGAAGACTAGCAGAGAACCGAATGCAATGGAGACGCACGACTGTCTGTCTGTTTTCTACATAGAACTTTGCACTGATGTGCGGCAGTTCAAGTCGCCACACTCCATGTAGCACACAAAGGAAGAGAAGAAAGTAGGAGAAATGCATAATATAGACAGTAAACAGACGCACGACTGAAGCCCTATGCTCCTGTAGGAATTCAAGGAAACAATAATAATTATAATTTACTGACTGACTGATGAGTGCCAACTAGCACGAAACCTAGGTCAAGCAAGACATCTTGCCAACTGCCTCTAACCATCTCATAATGGACAACCTCTTTGTTGTTGTGGTATGAGAACAGTCAACGTCAACTTCACAAAAGAAACAATAAATCAATAAGTGTGATTCAATTATGCAATTATTTATTACTAATAGAATAAATTGTGTGTGTGTTGTAAAATATATTTATATGAGGCATTATTGTCATCATTAGTAGTATTATTAGTAGTATGTATTACTATTGTCATTGTAATGAATTAATTAAATGAATTAACCCCCGTGGATTTGTACGAGTGTTATATTTAGGCAAGACGGTGCAACACTTACACACACGCACACACACACACTCACGCAAGCACATACACAACATCCCAATGAGTCAGTCAGTCGACAGTGCTGAGGAAAACGCGCATACACATCCAAAGACACACAAGGAAAAACGTCAGTTATCATATACTGATTAATTATGACGAAGAAAATGGCACAAATAATCCCAAAAAGGTGATCATGATCATGGTGATGATGATGATGATGACAAAGATGACGACAACGGCGACAATGATGATGATGACGAATGATGGTGGTGGTGATGATGACGAAGGCCAGAAGCGGTGGCAAATGCCGACGATGACGGCGGCAGTGACATACACACTGTCCTCTTCTTCCTTTATTTTGTCTTTAAATGAATAAAGAAGGAAAGAACGAAAGAGAGAAAGAAGGCGACGAAGGAGAAAGGCGAAACGTTGACAGTGAAACACAATACAATGTAAGGCAATTCAACACCACCGACACCGACACCAACACCGAAGCTCACACACACACAAGCACACAAGAGAGAGAGAGGAACATACGCCCACTACGAGGCTCACAACACAAGGCGAAGCAATACCAAGAAGGAAGGGCATAGAGAAGAAGCAGAAGAACAAACCGGAGAGGAGAAAACCATAAAATAAATAAAAAGTACAAATACAGAAAATTAAGAAAGACCAATGTCGCAAAGCATCATTATCTTAATGTCCTTTTCACCCTTCTATAAAACATTTCCCTTTGTCTAAATGAACGAGAAAGGGTTAGCTATGTATATATCACACTATGAAGACCACGGATGGACGGACACACAAACAGAGCCAAATAAAGCGAGGACAAAAGGCGAAGAAAACTCAAAGGGATAGATCACAAAAAAACTGTAAGAAAATGAAGAGGAAAAAAAGTAAAAAAAAAAAAGCAAGAGGTCAAATGACTACATCTCGTTGTGTGTATACCCTCCCCCCCTGCCTTCTTTTTTGTAGAGTTGTCCAGGAAATGAATCGAAGTGATGAAATAAAAAGAAAAGTACTAAATAGACGCATTCACCCAGCGTTCAACCCCACATTATCATTATTGGTATTCAAAAGGAGATTCGTAAACTTCAATTTTACGACAGACAATGTTTCTTTGTCAAAAAAAATGGAAAAAACGATGGCAAGACAAAGTAAAAAGCAGAGAAAAGCGATAAGAGGAAACTGTTCAACACATACACGCATACACTAGAATGAATTGACTGTGTCGGCGCACTTGTCAATTCAAGGATCCCTGTTAAAAGTAACACAATTTATGTATTAGTTTTTTGAGGTAATCAAGGTTTAATTTATTGTGTAAGTGATGTGCACAGTACACACACACACACACACAGACAGTCAATTAATTCATCGGCGGTGAATGAATGTAAGAAGAAGAGGTGAAGAGGATACAAAAGATGCTTCTTTCAAAGGAAGAGGCAGAGGAAGAAATTTCGACGGGGAAAAAGAAAGTTTATAAACGTATTATAAATATCAATAGATGAGAGATCACAAACTGTCTCTTCAAGACATAATTTTTGTTACCATAATCACACAATTAAAGCACAAACAAAGCGAAAAATGGAAATTGGGGGGGGGATGGTTGCGCAGATGGAGAGGGGGGGCGGAGAGAGAGCGACATAGGAGAAGTAAAACATGATTCAATTGTTTTTTTTTCCATTTTCACCTTCACACAGTCTCATCAACCAAAAAGAAACCACATGAATGCACGTGGATGGTTTACACATACATACAAACAACATATTGCATAGATATATAGATATAGATATATAAATAGCGAAATGTTTAGAATTCCACACGCAATCCTTCACATTCAAATATCATATCACCAGCATTAAATTGTGTACTGCATAGATTCACAGCAGGTAACAGTCGAAAATGATTGGCTGCCAGTCGATCTGAGCCTTTTTGTTCATCTAATCGACCACAAGGTGTTTCCAACCAACGTATCCATTCTTTTGGTTCATAAGTTGGCAGAATTGTGATGACAGCATCAGATGAATTGGCATCACAACGACACAGATAAGCAACATCTAGAAGAGGGAAATACAGGGAGTGAGAGAGAGAGAGAAGGGAAATTATTAGATTGCAATAAAATGAACTATTTATTTCACATTTCAATAAATCATACCCTTCATAAAGCAGAATATTGATTCGTTTTCTCAACTGGATTTAGTTTATTATCTTCCTGGACAACATCTTCAATGCGTTACAAATAAATCATTCAGCTTAGAAAATACAAAACACAACACAACGACTACTTTAACGTGTTAGTGTCAATTATACAAAGCTGATAACTTACGAAAAGGAAGACTGACTAACTGGCTGGTTTCAACGTAGGACTTTGCAGAGAAATGTACAGCAGCAGTTCAAGTTACCACACTCCATACAGTACACAAAAGCCTCCAAAGCCTCAGGATGGTCGGGGGTGGGTGCCTTGCGCTGCGGGTTGGCCACCCTTCCGCACACCTCTCGAAATGCTCCCATATGACCGGGCGTCTTAAATAGCCTCTCCTGAGGAAGTCCTACTCACTGCCTTCACGTGGCGGAGGTGTTTTTCACCAAAGTGAGAGGGCGAAAGCGGATGCCCGGGGCTCTTCACCGGGCTGACTGTCCATTGGATGACAGTCTAGGGGAGATGGCTAAACCCTGATTCCAAACCTCCAACGACTGGCGTATGAAGCTCACTGGCAGACGTATGGACAAAGGGCTTGTTGGATGTCCTGGATGTCTGGCCCCATTCAAAAGGCGTATGAACCGAACTCCGGTCACCGGCTGCCAATGGATAGTGGACTCCCTACTCCACTCCTACTGCCTTGTAGGTCACACTTGGTTGTGTAAAGGCTAGAGCTGCACTCTCAAACAAAAGGCCGAGCGATTCTGGGGACATCACTCGTACCAAATTCCCATGAAACTTCATGAACTCTCGTAATTGAATAACCCTGTCGCAAAACGTTGCATCAGATCGCCGCTCCTGGGCAGCGATGATTTGAGATGTTCATGAAGCCGGCTCATCCTCCCGTAGGAGATAGCCGAAGTAAAGTAAAGTAAGTATACAGTACACAAAAGAGATTCGACAAAATGATAATAAGCAGAAATATGAGGGACAAAGAATAGTAATATGGATTCGACATATCACAAATAGTGAATTCATCTACGCCAGCCATTGACACAGACTTCGAATTATATCACTAATAGTTCCCAGCCAATAGTTTTTAGAATCCTATAAATAAACAAATCTGACTGATTACGTAGCCTTAAGAAATTAAGTCATAAGTAAACGAATCAAAATTTTCTAGTGGCGGGGTGGGGGCGGGGTTATCATCTAAATAAATGCATAATATATATTTTATTTTTTCCTTTGCTTTCCAAGTGGAACATAGGGAGGGCTTTGTGCTTAAGCTTTAAAGTCTCAGTAGCAGTGATGCTTATTTTTTACTGAGGTGTGACTGCTAGCCTCACAACAAACTTTCACTCTTTTGCCGGACTTACTACTGGGTTTTAGTGGGGTTGAGAAGTGCATCGCTCTACCGGGGATCGAACTACAAACCACGTGAGGCGTGGTTAGCGATTGTTCTGCCAGTGAATCACCGACGCACTCAAGTTAAATTGTACAGCTTAGTTAATCACAGATTCACTAAAGTAGTTTACATGGTGACTGGCAATGTGATCCAGTGTAATCGTCCTCTTTAAGACTCATCATCTGCACATACCTTTATCACCAATGAATGCTAGTGTTCCCCTGAGAGACTTGAGCTCAGTATTCATTGTTGTAGGCATCAAAGTAGATATGATGGAGAAGATTTGTAGTTCAGGTGGATGATTTTGATGTGGTTTTGTTCTCTGAGCTAGCTGGATGGTTTATACTTGCGAAGCTTTCATTACCCCCTACTAGATAACATCTTCAGCGCATACTTCATTTCGATGAAGTGAGCTTTCAGATTTCTCCACAAGTTGTTTATTAGTCATCTCTCCTGGTGATATTGAGCGTCGTTATTGCTTGTTTTTATGTGTTTTCACACCCTCTAGGCTACTTGTATTGGTATTGGTGTTGATTGTTTCCTTGACTTGAACTTTGACACTTTGTGTATGAGAGATTTCCTTCTTATCGATTGGTAAATTTTGTCTATGTCAGTGTGTCTATTGATTGATGATTCATTAGAATTACAGACTTCTATGTCAACCAAAAGACTCAACAACGAAAGAAGATAAAACCAACATCATCTACAATATAAATTGTAACAACTGCGAAAAAACACTACATTGGCCAAAGTGGACGTCCTCTTCGTCTTCGTATCCATGAACATAAACTAGCCGTCAAAAGACATGACATCCACTCCCTCGCTCATATCACTCACTGCATACAGACAACCACGGACATCAATTTGACTGGGACAACCAGCGTTCAAATATTAGACAGAGGAAAAATCAAGAATGCTAGAGAATTTTTAGAAGCTTGGTATTTCAGTGAATCGTCAATCAATAGACACACTGACATAGACAAAATTTACCAATCTATGAGAAGGAAATCTCTCATACACAAAGTGTCAAAGTTCAAGTCAAAGAAACAATCAACACCAATACCAATACAAGTAGCCTAGAGGGTGTGAAAACACACAAAAACAACCAATAACGACATTCAAGGCCACCAAGAGAGATGACTAATAAACAACTCGTGGAGAAATCTAGAAAGCTCACTTCATTAAATTGAAGTATGCCCTGAAGATTTTGCCCAGTAGGGAGGGTAATGAAAGCTTCGCAAGTATAAACCATCCAGCCAGCTCAGAGAACACATAACTACATCAAAAGGCATCAAAGTGTCATTCCATAGGTCACTAGGCTAAAAGAACCACCAGTTCTTGTGCAAACAGATATCAGTGGTAATGCTCACACACCATCTCACACCACCTGCTGACATACCGGTACTCTCCTAGAATGTGTAACATTTCAACAATACTTGTGTGATATTCCTTCATAGCTCTCTCTTTCTCTCTTTACAAATGTATCTATCACATAATAACACAAGTAAATTATGAACACCAACCTACAGAGATGATTTAACATTCGTGAAAAACTAAAAAGTGTCCCTGCATGCATGCATGCATGTGTATCACACCCGTATCTAAAAGATTAATCGAATGAACAATTACCATTTAACAAAGTAGATATATGTGTATATATCTCTAAATAAAAAAGGGGATAAATGGAGTTTATTAAGGGCGTAGATGGGTAAGTAAGTAACTCGTGGGGATGGGGATATGTAGATTATATGATATCAATATATTAATATTTATGAAAGAGGAAATAGGCAATTAGATTAATGTTTATAGATATAGATACATGCAGAATGCATCAGATAGGATACACACCACAAACACAAATTAAAGGGAAATAACGAACAGCCAAATGGAATGCTACATATAGCATAGAAAGGCAAATAATAAGAGAATGTTTATTTGACAGAATGCCAAAAATAATAATGAAGGGAAATTATGAATCAATAAGAATGATTACAATTGAAGAAGTAATTATCAAGTTGAATGATTTTGAGAAATACACATCACCAAATTAGCGGTAATTTTTTATTTTTTTCTAACGGTTGATTCAGCTTCCTATTATTTAATTCACGTTGATTGTGATTGAACCGAAGTGGTCGGCCTCGGGTGGATATGTCGATTCATTGTGCGGATGCTTAGACGATTTCTGAGCATTTATTAAGTTGAAGTAAATTGGTGCGTCGGTGGCATAAGCGGTTAGGACGCTCGCCGACCATGCACATGGTCCGGGGTTCAATCCCCGGCCACAGACGCACTCCTTTACCTCGCTAAGCCAGATATAATGCTGGTGAAGGGCAAAAGGTTAGGCATGTAAAATAAGCACTGCTACAGAAACTTCAAGCCACAAGCTTGAAGCCCTATGTTCCACTGCGGAACGTGAAGGGAAAAAAATTGGTGGATGACAACTAGCAGTGGAATCGAGGACATGCATTTCGTCCTATTTGCGAGTGATTCGTCAACTGGATGGATGTACCTGCGCATTCCCCAATGAGTGATACTGACGAGATGCACATCCCGATGGTGGATTCCACTGCTATACCCTATCCGTCAAATGAATTAAATCTTCACTTTTTGCTTAACTACTTTTCAATTCAACGAAGCTGTCCCCACTTCGAGGTGTACCCATCATTTTATTTTTCAGAAGAGAAACAGAACGAGATGAATGCATCACTGTCCTACAGTAGAGAAATTATAAACCTGAAAAGCTTACTAGTGACATGTTTAACTGCAACACTAGTTGGATTTCTGAGGGAATATCAGTCCCTTCGAGACCATCGATCAGGAAATCAATGGAAAATCAGCTAGGAGTACTCGACAGTCAGCTGTTTCCTCCGAATTTTTCGGGGCCCTTCATCAGTAATCACCCACGATCAGGGTTCGACCCAATACCCTCAGGTTACAAGTTGAGCTCATAGACTATTAAGCCACTAGGAACTGGGGAGGGTTCGAACCCCGGTCAGTGGGTGTACACTATACTGAAGGGTATCAATAAGCATGAAACCTCGAGCGAGGAGTTCCTACCACAGTTGCTGTCATCCATTTAACATCAATTCAGAGTGCTTCAGGATGGACAGACATCTGACTTAGTGACTCTACATTGGAAACTTGACTGATACAATAGACAGTCAGCGTCAATACCAAGAACTAGACTACTCTCTTAGGTTTAATCATCGTTATGAAAAAGGAAGAAAAATAAGCCCATCGACTTTAGGTTATAGAGGCAAGCATGTTATTACAATTATAACTTCAAATTAATTCTAATCTCTTTCCAGATGATTTTCTATAATTTTTTTTTGATTACAGCTTGATTCCACACCGTATTTTCAGTACAAGTATGGAATTTTCAGCATGGATATCGGTAGCCCAAATTTACAGGTCGACCATAGATATCGGGTGTGCGCCGGCAGGGGATCGAGACCCAGACCACGTGCATGGTCGGCGAGAGTCCTAACCACTGTGCCACCGACGCACAATTATACAATAATTATTATCCAGTAGCCTCAATGATTCTGTGAACTATGCTCTGAACCAGATCTATTATGGCTTCTCTTCCAAAAGGGTAGTCTCATCACTGAAATGAAAAACGCATTTGCTATTCACAAGTAAGGCTTGTAGGCATTCCACTGATTCATAGAAGTAAGTGAATGTTGCTGGACTACTCAAATCCATTAGAATAAATATGTCCAAATACTAGTTCACTCATAATCCTATGTGTTTTGTATGACTGACTTAGCAACGTGTCGTTGACATTCAGTCATAGAAAGCGATACCTAATTGATGTAGCCGAATTCAGGTATGCCTAACATTTAAAGCCACATTAGACGGTTGAAGGTAACCATTTGGAAGCCTTAGACCTCAATTTCGTGATTGTTGACACTCGCCAGCAAGGGCCTCATATCTCCTCCGAAATTCGTACATGCGTCACCCAGTGATGAAGTCAGAGATATTACCACTGAGCTATTCAGAAGAGACACGAGTTTCTTCAAGGTTACAGGTACACTTTGCTGAGAAGTGTGTGCATGTGTGTGTCAACAAGCCTGAAACCTAGGTCAGGTGGGGGTTTCCTATCGATAGCCACCATAATGAAAACCCACCTACCTAGAGTAGCATGATGGCCACATTACAAACTTGACTGATAGAATTCAGTTTGCACCAAACAAACGGGTTAGATGCATAATACTAATTACTTACCATTTAGAGTTCAATCAAAGTATTTTAAGCCATGTTATAAATTAATCCGTCAAATATTTCATTAAACAGAATTTTAGCTAGATGAAGTCATGATTTATGCACGCATTGACAATGATAACATTTTTTGAACAGTTTTGATTAGTCTTTTTATGGCTTAATTGTCTGAGGTCTGATAACAAAATCAGATTTATTTTGTTTATGGCTTCCCGACAACCGATAGCTGCTACCTTGACGTGGTAGTCGGGCTTGCATATCGCAATGACCCAACAAGCTACACTGGCTGGAACTATTGTTCCTACAGGTCCAACCATGCCAGGAAGGTTGTTAGCATAGTGATTAGATTAAAAGCAGTTACCGGCAAAGTGTAAGAATTTTTTCCGTACACTATGCTAGGGGTCTGTGGACGAAGTCGTACTGCTGGTGAACAGGGATGTTTCCCTCAGACGACCAGCATACCAGTTATGCTGTCTCTCTACTCTGGAAAGAGGGCGTTAGAAAAGGTCAACCCCAACAATTGTACATACCGACTTACCCTACGGTGGTCCATAACTTTCGGTGAATTAACTAATACGGAACCAATTCAAGAAGCCAGTTCATAGAGGCTGTGTGTGTGACTGGCCAGTAGTAGTAGTAGTCAGTTGGTTATAGTGTCGTATGTTCTGGAGGCCCATTCTAGTCAATTGTTAAGACGACAACCACAACACTCCAGTGACACTTGGTTATAGTACACAGAAAAAGACAACAAAAAAGAATAAGGATAAGGGAAAAGGGAAAGTGGAAGGGGGGTAAAAGGGAATAATTCTATTGACATTCAGCTATTTTCCAGCTTACCATCAGGATTCCATTTAGCTTTAGCTGTAATCAATGCTTCAGCTATATTAGGATGAAGTGCTTCACCTGACAGAATGTACATTTTTGAACGTACACGTGTAAAGAAATCGACAATCATTGATTGAGGCACACGGATAAGATAATTAGGCACCCAGATAACATCAAGATAAACTGGCGGTCCAGGAGGTAGAGTTAGTTCATCTGAAAATGAAGAAGAAGAAGCAGAGGGGGAGGAACAGGAAACAATTCAATCAATGTGGATACAGAGAAAATATTCATTCAGACATTTATAAAACACAAAATAATTGAGCAAAGAATATCCTTTTCGATAAATTCCTCCTCTTCTGGCTCTACAATTATATATATGCATGTTTATATACAGAGAATATTCTAGAATAGTAGTCAATAACAATATTAGCGTGTTTTTTAAATAATATCCATTTGTTAAGTAAGATCACAATGGAATCACCACAGTTCATTAAAGATGCCTAAATAATAATAATAATAAAGATATAATAGCAAATAGAATATCAACTAAAATTAGGAAAATTTCACAAAAATTGAGGATCATTCAAACCTAGATGGCCAAGATAGGGATAATGTCTAAACTAGCTCCATTTCCAAACACAAATTAGGCTTCTTAAGGTGGATCCCAATAGCCATCCTCAGCAATATTTAGTAGTCGAACTCTTAAGGCGAAATTAAGACATGTTGGTATACGGTAAATGACTCTGAAAGCCGCCTCTTTAACATCAATCTTGTGTTCTGTATCCACGAGATGAGACAGAATAGCCCTACGAATAGATTTTGTTTGTCTTTTGCTTAACCACGTAGGGTGATGTTAGGAAATTCGACGAGAAACACGCCTAATTGTATGGCCTATGCAACTAAGTGGCTCACTCCACAGGAGCAGTTAAATTGGTAGATACGCATGGAAGAGGCGAAATTAGGCAGCTTCTCTTTTACTCCCGAACGCAAAAGAGGAGCGGTTTTGAAGACACAGCGTAATTCAGCAGCAGGGAATGCTCTTTGTTTTACCTCATTTCTAAGGCGTTGTGTTAGTATCTCGCTGATGTTGTCCCCGAGGATACGTTTAAACAAAACAGTTTATACGATAATCGCATGTGAGGCACTTTTTGTACTATATATACAATAATTTAAAAAGTTAACTGGATTATAGATTCAAACCTAATTTAGCTATTTCAAACATAGAGAAAGTAAGAAGCATCACCAAAACTTTGCACAAAAAGCTTATACTCTTCTGGTATACCAGATAAATTATATACGAAATTATAATCTGTCGAAGAATGGCTTCTTTTTTTTTCTTTATCATGAAGTGATATTTTAAGACCAAGTGGAAAATGTCACTGTTTATCAGTAAACACTGAGGACAGACGACTCATGTAAAATGTTAGTGATCACCAGTTCGATCAGTAGGCCTTTTCAATTCAATTCACTTCTAAAAGTATCCTGAATTAAGATTAAGGCAGACGAAGAAATGGTAAATTATTAGTCAAACGAAATCTGACAAATCCCGCGTGAACATTTCGTCCTATTTGGGACTCGTCATCTGGATAAACCTCCAACTCCACTACTAAGTAGGTAACAGTGATTCCACTGAGACTCAAAACCAAAAAACCAAAATTTCAAATGCCATAGAGCACTACCGACTTGGCTACTTGAACCACGGACCAACGTGTCAACAGACACTGAACACTTCGATCTAATATAATCAATTAATGGGACATAAAAACACTAAATTGCAAACCACAGAAAGGTGTTTTATTCCACTATGCATACAAGTATGACTAATTATTTTTATTAGAAAAAGACAGTAATACTGTGCTGATAGCTGGCTGCAAACAAGCCAAAATTGTCGACAACAATTTACGTCAATGTTTACGTCCCGAATAGGGGTCATGAGAAAAAACAATAACAAAGCTTAACCTTGAGGAACTCACCAACCAATCACAGCAGACTTAACGTGTGTAAATACGATTCGCTGATATATGGCTTAACTTTCTGAGAAACGGTCACATAGAGATGACAGAATAACCTTCAGCAAGAAAACAATCAATCAGAAGACGTTGTTTCTATAAATACCTGTTGATTTTCTCAATAAACGATCTGTTGCCTGACCTTTGTCTTCTGTCGTTACATTACCACTAGAACCCAGTTACCTGTATAGTGTGTGAAAACACACTGGGCGATGAACCACATCTGTTACCCTGTGAACAATGGGGGTTTAGTAGGCGGTATAGCTGGAGTTCACAAAACAATGACCCACTGGATTGGTTGTGTCACATTCTTCCTACCCCCTTCCTGCAACATACTACTTCTATTATACTTGAAGACAGACACGTTAATGGAACACAGTAAAAAAAATAAAAGAAGAAATAATTATGCTTACTTGAATCACCGGTTGCTGATGTTGTCTTCCCACCAGTATCAGCTGATCGTATACGTTTAGCAGACACATTTGGAGCATGAGATACTACAATAATTTAGAACATACATATACAAATCGATAGAATTGAAATTGTCAGCATATAAATAAATCAGTACTAAGAAGGCAATCAGAAAATAACGTAATCCATTTTACAATAGTTAGTTTGTAGAGATTCGACTTGTTTCAAGTTTGACCAGCGGGTACTTGACAGCAGTTGTCTCGTTCTACCTCAGGTCTCTTCAACAGTACGCACCCAGAACCTTCCGGTTATAAGTCAAAGTCGTAGACCATTCCAGTCACTGCGACCCGATTCAATGGCCAATCCATGAATCCTAACTTCCACCAACCAATGCCATCGGCGAGTATTTGTTCTCACTCCCTACCAGATTGACCCCGATGTTTATGCCTTCTCACTAGAACTCTAGCCAACTTTGTCCTGTAGTTTATCTCGAGTTTGACCACGGATTGATATCAGTTAGAGAACCATTGAAAACAAGTACTGGAGTACTGCACAGCTGTCGCGTCACCCTAGTTTAGGACTCATCATCAGTACGCACCCATTGGTTCTCGAACCTAAGACCTTTTAGTTACGAGGCGAGTTTTTAGACCATTTAGCCGGTTGGACCCGATTCAATGGCTCATACATTCTAACTTCTACAAATTCATAATTTTAGCCCGACCCCCAAACTTGGAAAACAAATCAAACCTTTACAAATCAACTCTTGATGCTCGCTTATGACTTGCTACAGGACGGAATTGGCTGGAGTTCAAGTGAGAAGGTGTGACCAGCGAAGTCCATCCAGTCAGGAGTGAGGATAGAGTTCCCACCGAAGACATTAGTTGGTAACCAATTAGGTCCCAATGGCTGATTGGAATAAGAATTTCACTGATTATTACAATAATGACTTTTATTAAAATGTCAAATTCATACTACTTATAAAAGAAACAGTACTATGTGTAGAGACTAGTCGATAAATTTCATTTAGTTTTCTACAAAAGAAAAGAAAAAACTTATTCTTTTTGAGATAAACACTATTCGTATAACTTGGTAAAAAAAGATTTCCAGAAGAAGAATTGATACCTTGCATTGAGTGTGCAAGGATATTAGTATGAAAACAATATTGAACACTATTCAAATAAGTAACTGATTGGTTGCGTTTCAGCGCAGAACTTTGTACAGAAGTGTATCAGTGTTCAAGTTACCATACTCCATGTAGCGCAAACAAGGCGCGTAAGAGAGAGAGAAAGAGAGAAGAGACTGTAATGAGAAGAAATGTGAAGCAGAAAGAATAGTAACATTCTAGGATTGTTCAATGGCCTGAACTCGCATAACGTTGTGTTGGAGCAAGACCGCAATGAGTAAGTTATTACTTGCCAAACACACAAGGTGGGGATCAAAATGATCCAGGTTTTCCTTTCGAATTTCTGCACCGAAATGCTCGATCTCCATTGGCGTTTTGGCGCTTCTGGTACCCAATTGCGTCCACCCTATTTGGTCTACATTGTGATGTCGTCCTATTTGGGACTCATCACCTGGCTGAACCTATTTCCCATTGAGCAATATTGTGTCTATTCAGCTGACAAGTCCTAAACAGTACAAAACGAGCCTCCTAGGTTCTAACGCTAGCCTCTACATATAAAACGAATAAAATGGTCATTCATTTAACAGTTAGTTATCTTTTTCAAGTTTGGTTATGTAGGAATTTTGTTTGATTGGTTGGAGGATTTCATCATGAGCTGACATCAGTTAGAGAACCATTGGAAAACCAACTGGGACTACAGGACAATCGGTTGTTTCGTCAACCTAGTTTGGGACCCTTCATCAGTACACATCCACCACCGACAGGGTTCGAACCCACAACCTCCTGGTTACAAGGCGAGCTGGTAAACCACTCAGCAGCCACTGGAACCCTATCCAATAGCCAGTCAGCCCATGAATTCTAACTTTTGCCAATTCATGACATGGCGCGACCACTACGTAGTGACTTCTTCGATGAGTTACTGCCTCACCTTCAACCTGCTGTATCTTACTGGTCACTTCTTCCCACTAGAACCTCAGGACAGGGTCAGTCGCTAGTGACCATCCCAGGCTTTCTAATGGTTCTCTAACTGATGTCAACTTAGGATGAAATCCTCCAACCAATCAAACAAAATCCCTACAAAAACCAATAATTGAAAATTAATCTGAGGCTTACTAGCGATTCAACTAACAGTTAGTTAGTTAGTTAGTTAACCAACAGAATGAGTTCAAATATTACTCAGTAATATGCGCAACACAACTAGTGATTGAAATTTTATCCTTGTATTTCAATTATAATGGGTGTTTCTGAAACTGTTATTCTCTTAAAAAAACATTTAAAAAAATATTTACAACATTTGACTCCACCGAAGACGGTGACGTCGATGATGATCATGGTGCAGATAAGATTAATTTTCAGTAGGAACAAGCCAAAACCATCCTACATATCCACCTCTTTCACTCTCTCTCACCCTCTCTCTTCCTCCTTGTTTCCCACACTACACACACTACACCAACTAACTCCTATTGGTATTTCCTATTCTCCTTGAATTAAGTAACAGTTATTAGACATAAATATATAAAAGAATGTGGAATGTTAGATAATAGTGATAATCTTACATAATCTACATTGCAACAACTTTGGTATGTATGTATGATTGATTGTATCTAGGCTTTCGTCATCTCTTCCGCACTCTCCCACTCTCTCCCACTCTCTCTCGCGTTTCCTGTTTGTCTAAAAGATACATTTTATCACCATGTGCACTCACACACACCCACACAGACACCAATACACATACACACACACATTGGGAGATATCAAAATCTTTCGGAACCTGTTATTTTGTCTATTGATTCATCAAAAATATGCACACGCACGCACGCACACACACACAAACGCATACAGACAGAGGCATCTGGGTACATCAGAATGCATGCACGCACGCACGCACATTACACAAGAGAATTCCATTCATATTACAAGTCATAAGCGCCCGCGCACGCGAGAGAGAGAGAGTGAGAGTGAGAGATGCAGCAATCAAACATTCTTCATCATAAACACACAATGAATACTACAACACATGTACACTAATGATAATAATAATAATAGTACTAATCTATGTAGTATCTATCTAACAGATACCATGACAACACACATTACTTCATATCATTCCCACCTTGTACTTTTTGTTATATATGAATATATACATATATACATCAGCATAAAAATAAATGATAGAAGAGGAACAACCAACAGAGAGAAAAAAGATGAAAGAATGAGACTTTTGTGTATGTGTGTGTGTGTGTAGACATGGATACAACATAACTAAATTCATTGATTGATTGATTGATAGATGGGTTTAGTAGAAGGTAATAATTGAATAAAGAGGAGTAGTAGTAGTAATAATAGTGGGTAGATTGTTTCAGCAAGGAGACAGACAGACAGACAGAGAAAAAAGTAAACAATTAGAATGATGCGACAGGAAAGCGTAACACAACAGAGTCTGAACACACTTCGGTACAATCAATCAATCAATCAATCCTCAAAGGGAAAGTCTTAAATTAAATTTAATTTAATCATTATAACTGATACCCATTGCAGAAGAAGAAAGAAGTGGTTCTCATGGATAACGGTTTGGCTATTGAAATCATGGGTACTGTGTTTGAGCCTGAAGTCGAGGAGGGAGGGTACACTATTACTCACTCACTGAGGAATGCAAGCACATCCATTTAGATGACGAATAATCGTAAATAGGACGGAATGTACGTTATCCTGGATTCCAGAACTCCGAATCCCTATCCACCAAAATTACATCAAGGTAACAATAATGATTTATTGAAAACAATGCTCCGGGTCTAAATATTGTTTAAATATTCCCATTATTAGTATTAGAATAACACATATAGGCGAACGATATTGTTTTCATCGGTTGGAGGATTTCATCATGAGCTGACATCAGTTACAGACCCATTGGAAAACCAGCTGGGAGTATAGCACACCTGTTCCGTCAGCCTAGTTTGCAACCCTTCAGCAGTACGCACCCACTATCAGGGTTCGAACCCACCACCTTCTGGTTACAAGGCTAGCAATCTCGTAAACCATTAATCCACTCACTGGGACCTGATCCAATGGCCAGTGCTAACTTCTGCACTTCACAATGTCTTCTTCGATAACTTACTGCCTCAACTTCAACCTGCTGTAGTAGGAATTTTGTCTGATTGGTATCAGCTCATGATGAAACCACCCCACAACCAATCCAACAAAATCCGGACACAAAACCAATACTTAAAAATATTGTTTTCAATTAGATCTTCTTCAGGCTTTACTGTAATTTACATAGATTAATACATATTTCAAAAAAGATTCAACAAGTGATGGTGAATTTGTGAATCAAATAACAATAATAATAGTAATAATAATATGTTAAATGTTTTGAACGTCAGTTATGACGTCTGTTATCATAATAATTATCGTTATTACTGACGTTCAAAACATTATTAGTATTATTTGATACACAAACACTGTCATTCGTTAAATTTTCTATACAAAAATCTATGTAAATTCGAGTAAAGCCTGAAGAAGATCTAATTTGAAAACAACAATATTATTCGCTTACTTGTCTTGTTCTAACTATTTATGATCTGAACAATAATAATAATAATAGTTATTAATGAATGATTTCACCATATGAATCCTACACTAGTTAGTTATTTCATTCATACACGTGTGTGTGTATGCGTGTGTGAATGTGTATTTGTGTAGTAGTAGAGGACGCCTACTAGACAAAACACATCACATAACCTCTAGATAGACCAATCAACGAACAAGGCATTTCAATCAATGAATGAATGAATCAATTAGAGAGAGGCAAAGAAGAAGAAATGACACATTGATTTCTAAATAGACAGACACACATTGTTGATAGATAGATAGACACGCAAGCATAAAGCCAGATAGATAGTCAGACAGACACACCAGTGGAAGCAATGAATGTCAGTACATCAACCAAAAGTGTTAGTAATGATA